GCAGTTACCTGACTACTTAAAAGACCGTAGAAAATCTTGAACAAAGAGCTATTATGCTTTCATAAGCCAGGTCATATAGTTCAAGATGATCTTTTCGAGAGGAAATTCCAAGAAATTCCGATTTTTGTCTGTTTCTTTTCTTTAAAAAATAGATTTTTATAGATCGCTTTATTATAAACAGATTAAAACGATATCAGCAATAACTAGTAATTACCAAGCCAATTAAAAAAATTGCCGGTTTGTTGTTTGTTTGAATACGTTTAAATTCATCGCTTGTGATACAGAAATGCGGAAGTCATTCAATAAAAGAAACGTGTAATATGTCAGTGATTAGTTAAAAAAAAAATTATTAAATAACAACGAGAGAAAGAGAGAGATCCGATACATTATATATCACCGAGTTATATTAAATTCTATATTAAGTTATTTTCAATTAAAAACAACTAACGATAACATTACAACAATATTATAATTTCCTATTTAACAATGTAATTGTTACATACAACATGTATTATATATTACATTTATGTTGTTGAATGAAAAATATAACACTAGCATAATGCCGCTGTTAATTATTTATTAGATTCTTATTTATTCTCATACAATATTTATAAAAAACTGAATCAGAAAATAAATAAATAATTTAATATAAAATATCTAACGAGAATTTGAACGAATGTTCAAGAGCGTATAAATTCATGTGGCACTTTAATTAAATACGTATATATAATAGATCTCTTTATTTTCTATTATCTTGTTCATATTCTATTTGTTTCCTCGGTCATCCTATTTATATCTGAAATATGAAAAAGAAAAGGAATTCTCGTTATGCAAAAATAGATAATAACAAGCTAATGCTTTGCACATGGATGATTTTACAATAAATGCTAAGTCACACATATATGTAGATACATACTAGTTTGATATGATATAATCTCGTACTATATAATAACGAGATATTTATATTCTCGTCTATCATGTCTATTTATACGTGCATATCTACCATGTAGACTATTAAAAATAATGATTGTGTAACTATTTGTTTATTCAGTTTTGCTTATTAATTATTCAATTGCAGCCTTCGACACGCAAAATTTATTTTATCATGTATTAACAAGATGTTTTTCTTACATCTACGTGGAGAAAATGTGAAAATTTTTCTTGTTATTTTAATTCCAGTCCCTTCAGAATTCTGAATAAAGAAGCTGACAACTGAAAAACAAGTAAACTACAGTCACTCACAAACGGAGTATGAGGCTCTTAAGTAAATAAGTATTGTATGCGTAGTACATGATGTTAAATAAAAAGTGTATAACAGATGTGTATATTTCTTAAATAAAAATATGTGTGTTTAGAATTGAATTGCGTTCAACCAAAAATGATATAATAGCTATATATATATGACAGCTGTTAAATTAAAATAAATATTATTTCATTTAATTACGAGAGAAAAGGAGAATTTTTGGTATATTTTAAAAGTGTGCCTGTACATATGTCAAATGAAAATACATATAAATAGAAATATTACTTTTTTTATATTGCAAAATATATTTATTTTAAATAAATATTATATTTTAAAATAAAATATTATACAACATGTTTTGTACAAATTTTCTTTACGTATTTTCTTGTTTCGTTACAATCTAATACAACTGTAATGAATAGGTAGGAGTCTTAATGTTAATTCAATTAAATTTCCGAATAAATATTAGATAAGATTTATATTTGTAAAAAAAGAACTACATATTTGAACGTACTTGAGAAAACTGTTTGCTAGCTTCTCTTGAGCAGAGAACACATAACTTCGTTTTGAAGAAAACATTCCAACTATTTAGACAAAGAACGAAATATTTAACTTTGACACAGCTTTTACCAGATTCATGATAAAATACGCGTCGACGATCTAACGACGATAACATAATTTCAGCGTGCACTGCGCATCACCCGTGTTAATCTGGCGTAGGAATTTCTTATGCAAATTGCCACGTTGTGTATTAGATAGATCTAGGACTGTGAGCGGCTACCAAATTTGTGTGTGGAACAAATGTGGAGTAATTTATGCTAATTCGCACATTTTTCTTTATAGTAAACAGACACGCCTTCGCTTCAGTATAGTCACTGTTTGTAGACCAGTCAGAAAAAATTAATGGATATCGAGGAATTTATTCTTATGTGTAAAAAGCGGCTGCTCTAAGAAAAAAATTATTGTTTGTTTCTTTCTGTAAATATAATTCTACTCTAATGTAAGTCGTCATTTCATAGATATATTTGCAACAATAAATGCTAACTTATCTACTATATTATGCGTGCACGCAAGCATATAGTACGCCCTAAAAAAAAAATGTGTTTACTCGCAAGGCATGAGCAGATTATTTCAGCGAAATGATACACAAAACGACATGCTACTAATTTATTATAGTCAATTTTAATAAATATTTAGTTCAATACTGCCAACTAAACATTTATTTACAGTAAATAAATATTTGTTCAATAAAAAGAATGATTATCAAATCAAATTAATGTTTTTTGAATCAATAATATTAAGAGTTTTTATTTTGGCCGTATATCTGAGAACACAATCAATACTAGAAATTAAAATGCATATATATAACGGTCGAAGTTGGATCTTTAATGCTTAAATAATTCAATCTTGAATTACTATACAGGGTGTAACTAAAAAAACGTATATGGAGTATACCATGAGATAAAGGACGAAAATCCAAGTAGAAAAGTCCTGAGTCATTTTTTGATCTGAGCTTTCGGTTTGTTGTTATACGAAATTAAAGTTAGCGAATTAACGCCTGAGTATATGGTAGAAGGAAAACAGGGACGTAGCAAAGCGGAGTGGAACTGACGAATTCGCAGCGGAAGGAGAACGACGGTGAGCAGCGAAGCGGTTGTAATTATTCTCTCTCTCTCTATCTTTCCTCCCCTCCCCCTCTCCATCTCTCTCTCCCTCTCCTTCTCCTTACACTTTGTTTAAAGAAATGTTAAAGATCAGAAAGTGCAGAAATAAATGTAGAGCTGAAATAAATGATTTGATGTTTTCGTAATAAATTATAGATTTAGGGAAAACTAATTGGTTATTTATTATAATTTTAAAAATAAATTATAATAAATGTTCAAAATGACCTCCTCCTACTTCGATACATGTTTGTGCTCTTTTCTGCACGTTTCGCGTAGCTCTTTGAATCTTATTATTGTCGATTCTTTTGATAGTGCGGAGTACTAATTTCGTCATCTCGTCAGCTGTGTCGATATTTCTATGCATGAAATTTTCTCTTTGATTGCTCCCCAAAGGAAAAAGTCGCACGGATTGTAGTCCGGAGCAGAAAACATTACGAAAATATCGAATCATTTATTTCAGCTCTGCATTTATTTCTGCGCTTTCTAATCTTTAACATTTCTTTAAACAAGATGTAGAGAGAAGGAGAGGGAGAGTGAGATGGAGAGGGGGAGGGGAAGGGAGACAGAGACAGACAGAGAGAGAGAGAGAGAGAGAGAGAGAGAGAGAAAAAATACAACCGCTTCGCTGCTCACCGTCGTTCTCCTTCCGCTGCGAATTCGTCAGTTCACTCCGCTTTGCTACGTCCCTGTTTTCCTTCTATACTCGGGCGCTAAAATTCGCTAACTTTAACTTCGTATAACAAAAAACCGAAAGCTCAGATCAAAAAATGACTCAGGACTTTTCTACTTGGATTTTCGTTCTTTACCTCATGGTATATTCCATATACGTTTTTTTAGTTACACCCTGTATATACTATAAATGTATTTGCATATATACTATATTTGTAGTCTTTCGAACTGCACGCCGAATTGTTTCCGGACTATAAACGCAATTAAACTACTATAGTAATCTCGCGAATTAAATTGACAAGCAATTTTAATAATTTTGATGCTCAATCAGGCATCATATATCTTAATATTTAATAAATATTTAGTTGACAATATTCAACTAAATATTTATTAAAATTGACTATATTTTTCGCAGTGTACTGTGTAAATAAATATATGCATATGTATATCTATTAGTCAACATCGATGCATATGCAAGATGAAGTTTCAAATACGTTATATTATACATACTCAATAAAAAATTTTTTCATATATAAGGATGATTCATAGGAGGAAGAATTTAGAATAACCGAATAAGTGATAATATTGATCATTTTAAGCAAAAATATTCGTATGAATATGTGTCCTATTCTAAATTACGGTTTCCGAGATAATTGGAATTTAACACAATATTGTTACACCTATTGACTGCTGTTTGAAAATATGACCAAAGCGGATAATAGAAAGTTTTCCATAGATCAAGAACGTTTCTGAGATGGTATCATTATCGATAAATAAATCTAAAAACATAGCACAAGTGCACAGACGAATTAATAAACTAAATAAGTTCATCAAAGCCTAAAAAGACAAGAACAATCTCTCTAAAAAAAATAATAAGATTTAAAAACTGTATGGAATACAATATTTACTGTAGGAATGCAATACTTTTACACTGAGTAGGAAACAACTTAAAATTAGAATCGGTAAAATCGTTATTGGTAAGCATATAATCTTGAATTTAACCACGCACCTTTGATTGAGAAAATTGCAAGATACTTGATGTGGAATCAAATTATTATACAAAAAGAGATCCTTTCAGATATGATCATATAAAAAAAGTAATAGATAGATTAAATTATAATACCAATATAGAATTCTTAGATGATTGTTATTTCAATATCCTTGACAGATTCGCACAAATCTCTTGAAAATATTAGTTGTTGATTATCTTATCTTTCCATGTGCTGTGTTTTTCTCTCGCTATTTATCATTATTATTAAAGCTTCATTTGCTGGAAAGACGTCGTGCAGGAAACACATATCATATAAATTGATATTGTTACGCCTCAGCTCGCACCGTTATCTTTAAGGTATTAGCTTTACTTTATTTTTGGTAGAATATACGACTATTCAACTAAACGTGTGGTATACTCGCAGATTATTATATTTACAATAAAATAATTGTTAATGTGGCTCAATTAGAATAAATCAATAAATAAAAGAAGGGCAACGAGCTAATTATACTGTAAGATATTTAATAATCACGCATTTGAGGCTTCCACGGTTATCTTCTTCGATTATATTAGATATTTAATAATCGTACATATACAAACGTTTCGACGCCGATCGGGTTATTTTCAATGTAAAACAACAAAACATTATTACATAAATTATCGGAAATTTTCGGTCACATTATAATGTCCAGTATGCGGTCCATATTTAAAATATCTTAAAGGTGATCTCATCTCACTTTTCACAATTCTTAAATTGTCTTAATGATGTAAGTTAGATGCTGAGAAGAAAACGCAATTAACAAAGTTATGTTTAATAAAAAATAAGACATAATATTGTTGGATATATCCTCGACGATGTACGTTAAGAATTGTGAAAAGTGAGATGAGATCACCTTTAAGATATTTTAAATATGGACCGCATACTGGACATTATAATGTGACCGAAAATTTCCGATAATTTATGTAATAATGTTTTGTTGTTTTACATTGAAAATGACCCGATCAGTGTCGAAACGTTTGTATATGTACGATTATTAAATATCTTACAGTATAATTGGCTCATTGCCCTTCTTTTATTTATTGATTACATTTAATTAAGGAACTTGTAAATGAATAAATCACTAACGAATGGTATAAGTTTCACGTTACACGCATGTTATACCTACACGAAATTTGGTAATAAACAGAAAATCCATTACTTAACAAGGCTTATTAAATACAAACAATAAATGTAAGGAGCATGCAGCTACCTGCGTGTGGCTACATGCTTCTTGTATTTATTGTTTGTATTTAATGAGCCATTTTTAAATTTATAATTTTTATTTAAGCCATGAAAAATATACTGTAGAATAATGATGCCAAAGCTCTTTGAATCAATTGATATATATTTATTGACACTTTCTTTCTATTATTACTCAAACATTAATAATATCGTAATTTTAAAAATACTGATGAAACATTACTTCTGTTTGACTTGAAATTACATAATGAAGTCCTTATTTGTAACCTTGTTTGTTTGTATATATTTAATAAAATATATTTAATAGTTCTTTTACATGTAATGATAAGAGAGACCTCAACTATATAAATTGTCTACAATTTACTTATCCATTTATCGGTTATCCTATTTGAATACTCATGTCATTCAAACGCAGAAATATATTTCGTAAAATTTTATATAACTTCTTCGAATATAAAAACTTGATCGTATTTGAAAATCCAAGCATGAATATAATTAACAAAATAAAATTATTTTAGAGCTTTCTTTCTTAACAAAGGTGTGTATGAAACAACAGACAAATGAGAGCTATTACATGGTTTATAGTGTAATTTGTTTAATTATTTTTTACGATTTATACAAAAATTTAAGCAATTGTAGACGTTTCGGCTGCATTCTATTCAGCCATCTTCAGGATAATAAATACATTAATTAAAAATTAAAGATAAAAAATATAAAAATTGAGGAATAAAGACGCCTTCCCATCGAACTTGAGTGATTCGATCAACATTTCAGTTTTTTTGAACTCCTCTCTCTTTCTCAGTTTTTTAGCTGGTAAGATCTAGATACCATCAAGAGAATCTTTCTTTTATTATCAACATTTTCTTGAATAATAACTATTTTTAAGATTCATTTTTGACGTAATAACATTAAGATCGAAAAAACTTTTCAATAAACTAATAAAAAACGAATATGATGGAAATACTGAAAATGGTGATTTAAAAAGGTGGTTTACAATTCCATATATCCCTAACATATCGGAGAAATTTATTAACATTGTCAATGAGTTTAATTTCAAATTATCATTTTTCAGTCTTAATAAGTTAAGAAAGATATTAGTCAAGGCTCAGAAAGAGCCTATTCTTCCGTTACTGAATAACAAAAATGTAGTTTATAAAATATCATGTAAAAATTATGACGCAACCTATGTGGGACAGACTAAAAAAAAATTTAATACGAGGATCTCTGAACACAAGAATCAATTTAAAAATATTAACGCTACGAATAAATCATTGCCGAGCATGGGTTTTGTCACAATCACGAAATTGATTAGGAGAACGTGAATGTGTTAAGCCTTATGTCCACGGTGTTAGAAATCGGTCCGACATCTCGGATGGAGAAAGAATTGACCAATCGCATTGGTCATGTGATCAAAGTGTTCAAATATAATTTGTTAATTCTTTCTCTGTCGGAAATCTCGGACCGATTTCTAGCATCGTGGACACAATTTAAAGCTTTAGATAGAAAGGTTTCTAGTAAAAAGACTAATTTCTGAAATGATATACATAAAGTTACAAAACAATGCAATTAATCTACAGACGGACACAGAATTTTTTCATTATGAATATGTTTCGTTCTTCAATCAGTTCTAACAATCAGATGTTTTTAAAATAGAACGCACAATTATTGTAATATATATTTTCATGTAGTGGTTTTACAGCTTATTTATATTGTATTTAACAGCTTATTTATTGTACTTTAATGTTACCTTGATCAAAACATTATTCAATGCTTAATATTAGATTTATTGTATATCACATCTTATTAATTGTATTTTAACGTTACTGTGTTTTTAAAATAGAACGCACAATTATTGTAATATATATTTATATGTAGGGGTTTTACAGTTTATTTATTGTATTTTAACATTACCTTGACTAAAACATTATTCAATGCTTGATATCAGAAAGTATATATACACCGACGAAGACGTGCAGGTCACAGTATTCTGAACAGAATAGAGTTGCACTCTTCTTGTTAGAATTGGTGAGTTATTAAAAAATAGTAACACACACAACACACATACAATCTCATAGAACTAAATAATAGAACTTCATATACATCTTACCAGCCAAAAAACTGAGAAAGAGAGGAATTCAAAAAATTGAAATGTTGAATCATTCATTTCAATGGGAAGGCGTCTTCATTCCTCAATTCTTATATTTTTTGTCTTTAATTTTTAATCAATATATTTATTATCCTGAAGATGGCTGAAAAGAATGCAGCCGAAACGTCGACAATTTTTTGTATAAATCGTGAAAAATAATTAATTAAACAAATTATACACTACTAAGAACCGTGTAATAGTTTTCATTTGCCCGTTATTTCATACACATTTATGAATATAATTTCATGACATTTTTACTCAAATATTTACTGAATGCCTGAAAATACTCGTTTGCTTATAGATATTTCTTCATATTTTTTATTAACGATGGAGCATTAATAGATGGTTACAATAGTCTACATTATTATCATTTCTATCACTACTATCATTTAATATCATCTATTTAAATTCAATTATGTCTTAAAATATATGAAAGATATTATGTCGAGCTGCTGCAGCTATCACGAGAAAAATATCTACTAATTTTGATATTTCAATCCACTGTGTATCGTTGTGTCATTGCAGTACTTGCTGCTGATTGACAATGTGTTATGTTCTTTTTATTTTTTAAAAATGCAACAGAATTAGAGAATTCAAAGCGAATTGGAGTACAGAGCGATTATATAAGCGCAAGTTATGTGAAAGCATAAACTTATTTTTTTTACTTTATAAAAAAGAAGATTTCATCTTTATTCTAAGTTGGAGTCAATTCGTAAAATAAATTTCTATTGTAGTCACATACGTAAATTAATCTAAATTTATTATAATCTTTGGCATGCCCATAGGATCTCCGTTATCTCCAATTTTAGCGAATTTAGTCGTTCAAGATTTGGAAAAAAATGTATTTTCTAAAATAAATATAAACATACCAATTTATTATCGTTATGTGGATGATATCTTATTGGCAGCTCCAGACAATCAGATTGATATAATACTAGACAAATTCAATTCTTATCATGATAGACTAAAGTTTATGGTGGAGCATGAAGAGAACAATTTCATAAACTTCCTAGATGTCAAAGTAATTACAAATAATGGTCGCATCAAATTTGACATATACAAAAAACCTACAAACTCGGGGAGATATCTCAACTATATGTCAAATCATTCAATTCAACATAAGAGAAGTGTGATAATAGGCCAGTTAGATAGGATTCTTTTTCTTTCGCATCCGGAATTCCATAAAAATAACATAGTATCCATGATAGACACTCTAATATTAAATAATTATCCGTTAGACATAATATTTTCCACAATTAATAATCGAATCAAAAAATTATCTATTAGAAAAGATGTACATAAAAATAATTTTAACAACAATAACGAATTGAATGAACTCAATAAGAAAAAATATTTCACAATTCCATTCATAAATAAAAATTCTGATAAATTTAGCAATATAGCTTCAAAAAATAACTTTAAAATTTCATACAAACCGATAAATAGATTTATAAAATCAGGGAAAGATAAACTGGAGAAAATGGATCAATGCAATGTTGTTTATAAAATATGCTGCCTGGACTGCAACGCCTCTTATGTTGGACAAACTAAAAGAAAAGCTAAAACAAGAATCAAAGAACACAAATCCAATATAAAAAGATCCAATGATGCACTCACAATATTATCTCAACATCAAATTGATAAAAATCATAAAATAAATTGGGAGAACATTAAAATACTGGATATAGAACCGTATTTTCAAAAAAGAATGACGTCAGAAATGATTCATATTAAAAAAATAAATGGTATGAATAAACAAAGCGACACCGAAAAATTACCAGAAATCTACTTTCCTTTACTGAACATACCTTCCCTCCCTTAACATCAACTTTACCCTCTCCCTTACAAAATAGTTAATTTAAGGCAGTATATCATGATGAGAAGCGGTAGTACACAAAGAAATTCTGTGATAACATGTCATCCACTGTTGCTAATAAACATTCACAAATCTACAAGAACACAGGTATTATATTGATAGAAAAGATAATTTAAAATAATTAAGTCTAACTAGTACGCGAATTATAGAATCTGGAAATTTTGTGGACTAGTATATCATTGTGGAACATGAAAATTATATTGGAAAAAAACACAACGGTGTAAAATTGAAATTTAACGATTGACGCACACGGACACTTAAAGAGGATGAAACTTAATTTTTAAATTTATGTTAATCTGCGCTAGCTATACTTATATACTAATGATGACCCAATTAGTAGGTCGAAACGTTTATTAATTTATTCACTTATTAATTGAATGTGATTGCATTGACTTCGAAAGAGATCTCGCTGACGACATCGAGCGCTCATGGTGTATGCCTTTTGACTTTATTATTATTTTTAATCTAAATTGTAGTCAGCATATTAAAAATTAGAATTTAATTAGTCAGCGTCGATGCATGATGCAATCCATCGGTATTTGAACGTAAATTAAATCTAAATTGTAGTCAGCATATTAAAAATTAGAATTTAATTAGTCAGCGTCGATGCATGATGCAATCCATCGGTATTTGAACGTAAATTAAAGGGGATTTTACCATTGCACGCGCATTTTTTTTGTAAAACTTTTTACGTTATTTAGTGTTATTTCAGTTCAAATAAAACACCTTGTATACGGCATTTGTGCTATTATACATATATGATATATCTAATTATATTTTTAATTATATCAATTCTCAACATATTAATTTACAACAATTACACAGTTTCGACATATGAATCGTCATGTAATTAATAATGGCACGACATACGAGTATAAGTATCTCTTCTCTTACTCGTTTATTTCCTTGGCGGTTAACAAAAAACAAAAACGGCCAACAGCGATCTATCAACTTTCTGTGAATCAAACTACATGAATCTTGTTCTTATTTTTATTTTTCATCAAAGCTATATATTTTGCAGATAATAGTTCGCAAAAGATCTGCTTTCTCACTCATTAATGATGCAGTTGACCACAATCGCATCATTTCTTATATTATTCTGCGGCCTTTTTCGTACGATAGCGGTCACGACTGTTACAAGCGACGACTATGATACGGTAAACATACTTTATCTTACCTTTGAAATAAATATTAAAATCTTTACTCTTTTAATTTGCCCAATTTTTAATGTAATAAGCACACTACAAATGTTTTCAGACAAATCGTTGCGCATTTTTTCAAAATCGATTAGTAAACTCCGCAAAATTACATCTCTGATAATAACTTTTTGTAGTTCTACATCAAATTAGACATAATGTCCTACATGTAGTTTTCCAAGTGTTCATACCAGTCAATTAAAGTCATTTATATTAAATTTATGAAATTTCCAAAACTATGTTTTCGAAATTTCTATAAATTTAATAAATGTTTTTCATTTATATTAAACTTGTCGATTATGGTAGATGAAATGAAGAATAAAACATTGATCATTACTCGTTTAACTTAAAGAGAAATAATTTAGATTAAAGAGAAATAATTTAGATACTGCAAATAAATAATAATAGTTTTAATTAGATATGTAATATAGCATCTACATCTTTTTTTGTCTTAAGATAATTTCAAATATTTATTGATTTATTAATTTTTTTAAGCATAGGCATAATAGATATAAACTGCGCATTATTTGATCACAGAGCATATTTGTGTTTCTTTAGGAAGATAACGCAATATATTGCGTTATATATGGATCGTATTAATTATTATTTCTCTTCAACTCAATACTTTAATTAGAGAAAGAATGAGCCGTACGAATCAAATTACCTCACTCTTTCTAAACTAATAATGACAATTTTATAGAAGTGAGCAATCTATACTTATTATGTCTATGATTTTAAGTAACATACAATATTTGAAAGAATATACTATTTTTGTGTACTCTTACAGACTCTTTTTTGCAGATGACGGTTAATGATGCATCAGTAAACGGAAGTTGGTATACGTCTTAAATTATATGTCTAAATTAATTTAGAGTATACTCTTAAGAATTATCATCGATCGCATTTTCATAAAAAAAATAGCGCATTTCTCTCTGAAGATTTATAATTTATAGTTACCAATGCTGTAATATCAATTTTTATATGGAAATGTTTCGCGAGATTATTACTTATTATATTTGCTGTATTCTCCTTAACGCCATAAATCATCAATATCTTCATTTTTCTATCATATTTAACTAATTGTTATGTTTTCAATTTCACTTACATGACACATGTGTTAAATTTACATACCATAAACGAAATAAACTTCAAAAGACAATTTTTACATTAATAATTTTGCAGGCAAATCAACTTCATGTATCTTAGGCGTTAAATATGTCTCAATAGCCTTATATACGAGGTAAAGTGAGCTTAAGTACGAGCTATATACGAGCTTAAGTGAGTATCCATTATTAACTTATTTCTCATACCGCTTAAATGTTCGCATTTTTACAGCAATATTCCTAATGGAAAATTTGTCCAAGTAAACGAATCCTGTAATTTTTTAAATTCCTCGACACCGGTTTTTTTCATGACTCATGGATTTATTGCAAATTATTCCAATTATAACTTATCTGTTGTTACTTCCCAATTGTTAAAGGTAAATATTTTTTATATTTAAAAATTAAAACGCAGAATTTTTTCCCTGTAATTTCAAAATCTTACGCATTGTACAAATAATATAAAAATATTGTAAGATTTACAATAAAAGTATTAAGTGAAACAATTTCTTTTCTCTGTAGAAACATTGTGCAGTATTTTCGCTAGATTGGTCTGACGCAGCGTGTTATAACGATCCAGCAGCCATAAATCTGCTAGAATATCCTTTCGCAGTACATAACACTCACGAAGTTGGTAATTATTTGGCAAGGTATGGCTATTTCGTGATGTTATGTCGAATTGAATAAAAAAAAATGTGTAACGAATATAAATTCAAATTCAAATAATTCTTATTGAGATTTAAATAATTTTCTAAATACTATAATAATACAGTAATAAAATTAAGTAATACCGATGATCAACATTATATATAACATGTAAAATAAATGTAGCACCTATTGAAGTTTAGCTTTGTACATTTATATATATATTGACAAAAGTAATGATAATCAAGAGATAACGTTAAACTGAATAAGAAACGCGACGTTTTTTGGTTCATAGCATAAAATTTCTCTTTTAGCTATATCAAATCAATATGCGATACATGCAGCGTTCCGTTAAAGAACATCGTACTTATAGGCCATAGTCTTGGTGCACATATAAGTAGCTTCGCCGCAAAGAACCTTCAGACATCGGGTTACGGCAAAGTTACGCTTCTCATTGGTTCCGATCCCGCGGGTCCTCTTTTCATGCTTAATAATTGCGAGCATAGATTTTGTGACACAGACGCCGAACGTGTCATAGCTCTTCACACATCTGCTCTCGGATTACAGAAATCTCTAGGTCATCTCGATTTGTGGTTCAATAACGGATTAAGCCAACCAGCATGTGGTGGTAATTATTACATTTAACTTAAAAATAAATTAATCAGAGGAAAAACGTTACAAAAACAACAGCTAACAGAAACTAATTATAAATGAAATAAATTTTTGTTTCAGATTGGTTCTTCGGTACTGTGAACCTCAACTGCTCGCATAATATAGCCATCGCATATCTATGTAATACGTTGTTTCATGATTGCAAATATACTGGTGTTTCTATATCGTAAGTTCGCTTTTTTAATAATAAAACTAATAACATTTTTTTAATCTGGAGTTTAAAGTCTAAGTTTAAACTTAGATCAATCCAACTTTTGTAAATATTTGGGTTTAAAAACTTTATCATATCAAATTTAACACTTCTATTAGATAAAAGCTGCATTAATTGTTATAACCATATGTACATTATTTATTTTTATTTTTTTTCAGACCCAGAACAATCCCGTTTCTCAAGTATGTATAAATAAAAAAAATCTTTTTCTTGGTCTTGTTTCTTGTTTTGCGATTATTGTATTTTTTATCATAACTAGGCATTTTTGCAGTATTCTGCCCGGTTGTTCTTCCGACGAAACTGACTGTATTGTCGTGGATCATAGGATATTCGATCGTAACTATGCCACAGAAGGAGACTACTGTGTTTCTGTTACATTAGAATATCCCTACTGTACAAAGGATCTTCCTGTTTGTCGAAAATAAATTGAGACGAATTCGACACTTCAATTCAATTATAGTGAAAATGAAGTTCTACAATTTTCACTCAATAAATGTGATTATAGACTGAGTTGTATAATTAATAAGTATAATTAGATTGAATTGCATTTATTTAGCATCATTATTGTTAAAATCTTTACTGTTACTGATGAAAAGAAATTAAGCATTGCAATGTACAAAGTTTAATAGAAGAATTAATAGATGGAAATCGATTAAAAATGCGAAAAAGATAAAAAAGACATTAGATTGTATCGTATTTCTCGATTTCCTTTTTGAATTAAAATAATTAAGTTATACAGGGTGTTTCCAAATTAAA